TCAACTAATATACCAATGCTGTGTATTTCTTGGAAAACTGGATTGCTGTCAAAGTCTTGTCAGTGTGTTAATTTACTGTGAATAAATTGTCTAGCAGTAATCTTTGTGTCAGAGTGCCTCGGTGTACAGAGAGGGGGGGGGTCAGAACAGTTACCTATGACTATAAGTGTTGTGTCTTTTTATTCCTGATGAATGTATTTTATTTTTCTTTATGTACACTGAGAGCCTATGCGCCAAAGACAAATTCCTTGTGTGTCCAACCACACTTTTTGCCAATAAAGAATTCTATTCTATGTCACAGAAAAAAGTGAGTTAACAACCAGTCTTTGCACTGACAACTGTAGTAGCACCTCCACAGTCAAAGGTGATCAAAATTCAGGCATTTACAATGGTTGCAGTGTCCCAGGTCATGTGACCTCCATTTGTGACTTTCCCGGCCAGCTCCCGGCAAACAGAATCAAAAGAGGGAAAAAGCTAGATGCACTGAATGACTGTGTGATTCACTTAACAACTGCCGCGATTTGCTTAACGATCATGGCCAAAGAGGTAGTAAAACTGGGCGCAACTCATTTAGCAATTGTCATGTTTAGCAACGGACATTCTGCTCCCTCATTATCAGAATAATGATTGACACATTCCCATCCTTTTTTGGTGGGGATGTTATCACACTAGAATCCAGGAGACAACGAGTTTCACTCCTGCCTTAAGCCTGAAAGTTATTGGTCGAGGACTACCAATAACTTAGGAAGGATTCCTTCTGAGATGATTGCCAAGCCCACATTCCCTTTGTGGGCTCAGATGCCTCTTATCTAACTTGTTGTCTGGTCAGCAGCCTCTTCCTCCTGTCTCCCAAAGTTATGCTGGCTGGGGAATTCTGGGGATTGAAGTCCTTCTGTCTAAAAACAATGTGGCTGGTTAATTCTGGGAATAGAAGTCCACCCCTCTTAAAGCCTGCTGGCTGGGGAATTCTGGGAGTAGAAGCCCACCTATCTTAAGTTTGCCACAGAAACACTGCCATACATCATTAAGCCCCCCAGAAGATGAAGATGGCTTCGAAGAGAAGATATGAAGGCCACATCACAAGAGGTGGACTAGATGATCTTCTCTTGCCCCGATCAAGCCTCAAGCCAGACCTATTCTTTGCTCACCTGCTGGAGCTGTAACAACTCCAGGCTGTCGGAGTGCAGGTCAATGGAGGGGTTGATGGCACAGACCATGAAAGCAACCTCCATTTGCCGAGTGCAGCGCAGGTAGGAGCCTTTCAGGTAAAGCCAGCTCTGCAAAGAGAAGAGAAAGGTTTGAAGCAGGAATCAGAGGCTGGCTGACTTGCAGAATAATGATTGACACATGCCCATCCTTTTTTGGTGGGGATGTTATCACAGTAGAATCCAGGAGACGAGTTTCACTCCTGCCTTAAGCCTGAAAGCTGGCCGGGTGACTTTGGGGCAATCACCAGGCGACGGTGAGTTCTAGTCCTGCCTTAGGATGAAATATGACTAGGCAACTTTCAGCCAATCACCAGGAGATTGTGAGTTCTAGTTTCACCAGAGACGTAAAAGTCGACGGACAGACTTCGGGCCAATCACCAGAAGATTGCGAGTTTTAGTTCCCCCTTATCCATGAAAGTCAGCTGGGTAACTCTGGGCCAATCACCAGGAGACGGTGAATTCTAGTTCCACCTTAGGCCAAAAACCGATTGGTTGACTTTGGCCAATCACCAGGAGATGGGGAGCTCTAGTTCCACCAGAGACTTGAAAGCTGGCCGGGTGACTTTTGGCCAATCACCAGGAGACGGTAAGTTCTAGTCCCGCCTTAGGATGAAATATGACTAGGTAACTTTCAGCCAATCACCAGAAGATTGCGAGTTCTAGTCCCACCTTATCCATGAAAATCAGCTGGGTAACTCTGGGCCAATCACCAGGAGACGGTGAATTCTAGTTCCACCTTAGGACAAAACCCAACTGGGTGACTTTGGGCCAATCACCACTGATTTGACAATCTGACTATCACTGATCCTGACTCACACGCCGCCTCCTCCTCTGATTCGGCTGCTGGAGGAACCGGCTTAAACTAAGGTTTAAGGTTTAAACTAAGAAGAGAAACCCATTTTCGTTACCCGTTCAGCCACGCCCGAGTTGACCGTCTGCCCACGCCGGTCCTCGTTGCCTTTCCCGTGCCACGTGACTTCAGCCGTCTGCTCCCCGTCCTTGCCAAACACGACCCACGCGTGGTCCTCCGACAGCGCCAGGTGCACATCGTAGAGCCCCAGGGCCTGGCACGCGCCAACCACCGCAAAGGCCACCCCAGAACTGTCTAACTTGGTACCTGAGCCGGAGACAAATTCAACCAACTTTAGACCGACATGTGAGCCAACCTGTTCTTCAATTTATGCTCTACGGGTAGCTTACAAGGGCCTAAAAATTGCAAAATGTGAAGGATAGGAACACTGACGGGCCTTGATTTACAACGAGCCACTTAGTGACTGTTTGAAGCTAACAAAAACGGTGCAGGAAGTCCTCAACTTTAGTGACCGTTCAATCTCACAACGGCACTGAAAAAAGTAGACTTCTGACCCTTTTTTTCGCCCTTACATCGTCACGACTGAGATTTGGATGCTTGGCAACAGATTCCTATTTCTGATGGTTGCCATGGATTCATATTTATGAGGGTCGCGGGGGGTCCCATGATCAGCTTCTGACAAAGTCAATGTGGAAGTCATTTCCATTTCTTGAATTTATAGGCCGCCCAATCCCGGAGGACTCCAGGCGGCTTACAGAAATAGTAATATTAAAAAGGATTAAAACAGATAAAACAGATTCACCGAACAACTGTGCTACTTAGTTAACAAATGTCCCGATTCCCTTAACCACTTTGGCCAGGAAGGTCGTACAATGGAGCGAACCCACTTAACAAGCGTCTCGCTTAGCAACGTAAAATTTCGGGCCCCATTGCGGTCAGGCATTACCTACCCACTTGTGTCCAACTCTAGGGGGCGGTGCTGGCCTCCATTTCTTAGTCGAGGGAGCCAGGGTTGACTATACGCCAAGGTGCATGGAATGCTGTTACTTTCCCACCGAAGTGGTACCTATTTATCTACTCGCATGTGCGCTTGTTTTCGAACTGCTAGGTGAAACAGGAGCGGGAGCAAGGAACGGGAGGTCACCCCATCGCACGACACTTGGGGTTCGAACCCTGAAAAGTCAGCTCTCCAGCTGACAAGCTCAGCAGCTTTAACGATGGACCCCCAAAATTGTATTTATCGCCCAGATTCAAAGCTCCAATGCTCCCCCCCCCCCTGCAGTCCTGTGATCCATCTCATTTGGGGCATTCCACAACAAGCCCACCTTTCCAATTTTTGCGATGTTCCAGAGTCCCATGACTTCAATTTACACATTTTTTTTTGTCGGAAATCAGCATTTACCTCCAACTTCTGACAAAAATCACCCATTCCGACTTAATGATTCATTTAACGACCGCCGCAAACAAATGTCAAAAAATTGGGACGGTCAAGTCTGCTGAACCACAGGCATAATTTATGGCCCTAATCCTGGGCTCAATTGCGGTCACAGGTCAAGGATGACTGTCCATTCCAGCGTACGCACCAGCCAACTGGTATTCACAGGTGCCAAAAAACGGACTGAAAATGGCCCGAAAAACAGCCAAAAACCAAGCCGTTTTTGGGCTATTTTCCGGGACATTTTCGACCCGTTTTTTCAGATTGTTTTCCGACCATTTTTCAGGCTGTTTTCCAGCCATTTTGGACCTCCAAAACGGCCTGAAAATTGCCCCCAAATGCCCCCCAAAACAGGCTGTTTGGAGACAATTTTCAGGCAGTTTTCCAGGCTGTTTTCAGGCCATTTTTGACCCAAAAAATTGCCTGAAAATTGCCCAAAAAACATCCCAAAACAGGCTGTTTGGAGGCAATTTTCAGGCAGTTTTCCGGGCTGTTTTCAGGCCATTTTTGACCCCAAAAACTGTCTGAAAATTGCCCCCAAAACGGTCAAAAAAACAGGCTGTTTGGGGGCAATTTTCAGTCCGTTTTCCGGGCTGTTTTCAGGTCATTTCTGTCCATTTTTGACCCCCCAAATTGTCTGAAAATTGCCCAAAAAACCGCCCCAAAACAGGCTATTTTTGGCCCCCAAAATGGCCTGAAAACTGCCCCCAAAACATCCCAAAGTAGGATGTTTGGGGGCAATTTTTAGGCTGTTCTCTGGGCTGTTTTCAGGTCATTTTTGATCCCCCAAATTGCCTGAAAAACGGCCAAAAACCAGCTATGCGCACCCAGGCCAGCTGGTCTTCAGCTTTCTGGTGCTCCGGTGCACACACGTGTGTTCCGGTTTGGGCACTTGGTTCAGAAAAGTTTCAGCCATCACTAAGACCTTCGGCCACGCCCCACAGCCTCACCTGTGATGAAGCTGAACAGCGACTGGATGTGGGCTCGGTCCTTGAAGTAAGAACGGCTCAGGCTGTTCCAGATAACGTCCGAGACTTTCTTGACCAGTTCCCGGGAGGAGTAACCATCTGGCCGGGGGTAGAGCGAGAGATCTACGGCGCCGCGGATCTGGGCAGTGAAGCGGGCGTGCAGGGCGCCCACGATGCTCAAGTC